TCAGAGCCCAAGGTTTATTAAATTTTATGTCTTTAAAGCAATGTGTGTGTGTGTGTGTGTGTGTGTGTGTGTGTGTGTGTGTGTGTGTGGTGAGGAATTATTCTTTGTCAGCGTTCTTTAAGTTATATACTATTCTTTATTATAGATTTTAATTTACTAATAAATTAAATGAAGATGTTGTTTCTTTCATAATTGAGTTTCATCTGATTACTTTCTTAGGTCAATTGGCATGATTTTGCTTTTTTTGACCCTGTAATGTATGAGAGTTTGCGGCAACTAATCCTCGCTTCTCAGAGTTCAGATGCTGATGCTGTTTTCTCAGCAATGGATTTGGCATTCGCAATTGACCTGTGTAAAGAAGAGGGTGGAGGACAGGTAAAGCAAATAGCAGTTTTCTGATTCTGGCAAGAAACGTTGGTTAATCCGCTGTGCTTATCTTATATAGAAGGAGATTAGTTAGGGACCAAGAGAGAGAGGGGGACAAGTGTACATGTATGTGCACATGTGCTTGCACACACAGAAAAAGAAATGGACATAGTAGGAGATAAACAGAGAGATGGATCAAGACTTAGTGAGGCAAACTAAGAGGCAGAGGGCTTTTTGTACTTATTTGGGCCTAAAATGTTTACCTCTCCTAAATATTTTTCAGATAAAGAATTGTCTTTAGATTTAAAATTATAGGAAATAGTTTTATGAACTGTTGACTTATTACTGCTTTGACAGAATTTCCTTTAAAAGGCATTGCTAAATTTTTCACAGGTTGAACTCATTCCTAATGGTGTAAATATACCAGTCACTCCCCAGAATGTGTATGAGTATGTGCGGAAATACGCAGAGCACAGAATGTTGGTAGTTGCAGAACAGCCATTACACGTAAGTATTTTCTAGGAAGTGTTACGTGATCTGATGAGGCTATTTGTGTCTTCATGTGTGGTAAACTAGCTCAGTGTACTCAGCCTGTCTATAAGCCAAAAGTTTTAAACCAAAGTAAATTTATTTACCATGTAAATTACACCTAAATTTGAGAATCCAGACAAAGTACTCATTCCTTTTGGATAATACTACTTGGAAAAACCTGTAATCATCAGAAAGTAGCTTTGGTGAACAAAAGTTTAGAAAAGGATGCTTGTAGGGCCAAAATAACTATTGTTTTAGGGTCCTACCACCCTCCATACCTTGGGTGACCCAGCTGAAGGACTCACAGGCAGTTGTACTTACAGTTATGGTTTATTTTAAGAAAAGGACCCACAGTAAGGTCAGCAGGGGAAAAAGATAAGTTAGGTGGAGTCTGGAAGAATGCAGGTACAGGCTTCCAAACTTCTCTCTCCAGGCCAGGGCATGGGCTGTCACAAAGAACACACTTCTTCCTCCAAAAATGAAATGCAGCAAAATGTGTGCAGTGTTTGTGCGTAGGGAAGCCCGCTTGAGAGTCAGGAGCCCAGGTTTTTTATTGGAAACCCTCAAAATACCTAGTCCTGTAGGTGTTTTCTGCCTGTATAACCAGCCATGACTGAAATTCCAGACTCCCGGGGGACAGCACATGTCGTCTTGAATCACCTTGTTTGTACAAATAGTCTAGGCAAGCTGGTACAGCAGGGTTCATTGCTCCAGGCATTCAAAACCACCTGATCAGTTAGTAATGTAGACAACATTCTGGAAACCAAGTTCTCAGACACAAGCCAAGGGCCAGCTAGCCCTGTAATCAGGCCCACTATGTTAACTCTTTCCCCTTCCCGAGTAAATGTTTATGTAGATTCAAGACTGATGTCAAGTTATCCCTGTGCTAGAATAATTATACAGGCTCTGGAGTCATACTGTCAATTCAGATCATGGCTCTACCACTCTCTAACTGTATGACATTAGCAAATTACTTAAGTTCTTGTGCCTTGGTTCCCTTCTCTGCCAAATGAGGATAAGATTAAATGAATTAATACACGTAAGGTACTTACAACATGGGTGTTCTTTCTCAGTAAGCTTCTAGATTTTGGGTTTGTGTCTGGGAGGTTTGCTGTCATTAACAAACCTTTCCTATAATGCTGACAGGATCTTTTGATAAATTGAAGCTACTCTTATTTAATGACTAGCCTATTATTCATAATTTTAGAAACAAATTTCAGTTTACTAGTATATAATAATACTGCTTCACTTTTGAACCTGTAGCCTATTTACTATGGCCTTTTATTTTTCCTCTGTCTTTCTTTTGAATGTTAATAAGAAATTCAAAACACAGAACTTAAGTTTTTTTCTCTTGTTTAAAACGGGAACTAACAATCTTAGAGAAGACTGCTAATGTAAGTAAATGCTACAAGTAAAATAAAGCAATGGTAGTAATAAAAGATTAAATTTTGAAATTCCATAGGCAATGAGGAAAGGTCTACTAGATGTGCTTCCAAAAAATTCATTAGAAGATTTAACAGCAGAAGATTTTAGGCTTTTGGTAAATGGCTGTGGTGAAGTTAATGTGCAAATGCTGATCAGTTTTACCTCTTTCAATGATGAATCAGGTAAGAGTTTTTAAAAAATGTTTACATAAGGAATAAACTAAAGAGATAGTTTGGTCAGTCAGCAGTTCCTGAGTTTCTGGTTCTTAGTTCTATATACAGGGCTTGGGAAATGCTCTTTTACTTAGGTATTTAATTTTTTTTTTTTTTTTACATTATTTTTAAAGATATGATTGAACTCAATTTTTGATGACTTAGTATTAGGTTATTCTTAATTCTTTTATTGCTTAATCTTTCTAAGTTTTAAAGAATGTATGGTTTAGTATGAATTCAAGTAAAAGTTCTTTGTAGTGGGTAACTGTGTAACAATGATTTGTATATACTGATTAAGAAAAAATAATCCATGTGACTTCTACTGGCCCTTCCTGATTCATGTCTTTTTTGTTCCCCTAATTTAAACAATTCGAATGCATGATGTTTGGCTTTTAAAGCTGAATACAAGTCACACTTATAAAGGCATAACAGCATACAAACAAACACATAGAGAATTTAGGAAGAATATAAAGAGGTAGTGATAATCTTCCTAAGAATAACTTCTACCTCCAGTGTTTGATTTGCTGCAATTTTTTCTTTTGAAAGTCCTGTAGACTAGGAATAGACTCTTTAGTTGTGACTATACAATAAAACATTGAAAGCTTCAAGAAGTTCACTACAAAAAGATTATACCTATAGTCCGAGATTATTGCATACATAAAGATACCAATTTTTCCCCCTTTAGTTTTCTTATTTTGCAAGCAGCTTCAGCCAAATTATAGTAAGTTAAATTTGGATAAATTTTTTTGGTTTTCTTTCATGCATGGTAATAAATATGTAGTTTGTTGTATAATAGTTTTTGTGTTACTTTTTAGATATAGTTTTCAATATTTATGAGATAAGAATTTGTCTCATTTACAAACCAAAAGTCTAGAAGGGAAAACAAAATATCTAAAGAAACTGCGTAAGGCCTGCCATTCCATGTCTGATCCTCATATTAGCATAGGCATCTTCTGGAAGCTTTTTAGAAATGCAGAATCTCTGGTGTCTTTTCCCTCCATCCCCCAGACCCAGTGAATGAATGAGAATCTGCATTTTGAAAAGATCCCCATGTGATTTATAAATCCAGTGAAAATTGAGAAGCACTGGCTTAAGTTCATGAGAAGAATCATGATTTACAAATGGGATTACAATTATGTGGTTATCAGTTTTGAGGCTGGTGGTACATTTTTCTTGTTTTTGTCCTCTTGAGTCAGGATTGACTTATGAACTAATAAGCAAATAGTCCTAATTTCCTGTATTACAAATTAGAAACACATACACCTCCCCGTTTTAAATAATTTAAACTTTGTATCTATTTTTATTTTAACAAGTTTAGCAATATCCTAAAGATAAAACAATTGATACAGTATAGTAGCCCCCCCCCACTTTATTTGTGGTTTTACTTTCTATGGTTTCAGTTATTCAGGGGTGCCATGCAATAAGACATTTTGAGAGAGACCACTTTCACATAACTTTTATTGAAGTATATTGTTAAAATTGTTTTATTATTAGTTATTATTGTTAATCTCTTACTGTGCCTAAATTATAAATTAAACTTTATCATAGGTATGTATAGAAAAAAACATGGTTATATATTAGGGTTTGATACTATCTACAGTTTTGGGTATCCACTGGGTGGTCTTGGAATGTATCCCCTATGAATAAAGGGGGTCTTATTAAATTTATTAAATTTATGTTCTTCATTCTTAGGAGAAAATGCTGAGAAGCTCTTGCAGTTCAAGCGTTGGTTCTGGTCAATAGTAGAGAAGATGAGCATGGCAGAACGACAAGACCTTGTAAGTTAAAAGTTTCACAAAATTTGCAGAAGGAAATAGAAGATTTTAAAATACTATGAATGATAGCCTTTTAAGTGTATAATGGTCAGTAATTTTAATCTGGGGTAGGGAAATTACAGAAGGTCAGAAACAAAAGGCAGTTTTTGTTTTTCTTACTCTGTAATAGAATACCTGAAGTATTGCTAAAGCTCCAAGCAGAGTGAAATGCATCTTAGCTATTAATATGCTGTCCTTAGTCCCAGGAGATGATACCAGCTTATTGTTGCAACATGGTTCGCCCGATTATAGTGCTTACATATATATGCTGCTCCTCGTATATACGCTTAATCCTTTTGACTAGTGGCAAACTTTTGCAAAATTTCTGAATAGTGTCTTGATTATCTGTATACTAAGAAGAGAGTGAGAGTAGCTTAATTGTGATATGTATATATTAAGTCTGTAATTTTAGTCCTATTTTTTATTAGCACAGAGCCCCAACCAACTTAGAATTATAAATCAGATAACAGAAACTCTGATCTTAGTGGAAAGTCTACCAAATCAGTGGAATCTATGTCCACACTCAAGTATACCCATAACCAAGTCAACTTGCCAGTTAATCTTGAAAGGCAGTCTGCTCCAGACTTTCTTGTAGAAATTCAAGAGACATTCCTTACTCAGAAAACCTCAGAGATCCTTTCTACTCATATTCTTTATGGTTTTCTGGGACATTTCCTCTGTCTAACCATCCTTAGTTCTTAGTAATCTAAACCAGATCACTCATGGAATGTTTAGAAATGATCCAATTTCTAGATATGTCCACCATTTATTTGAGAGAGGGGAAAAGATTATCATGCAGGAAAGCACAAAACTGCAGCTTTCCATTTATCTTCAGTTCAGGCAGGAGCTTATTTTGGGGGTGGCGGAGGGAAGGAGTGGAGTTCTTGCTTTTAGCATTCCTGAATCTTTCCATGGTTCCAAGAGCCTTCCAGTATTTCTCTACTATGTTGAGACAGGTTGTTTAGCAGTCCTAGTTGCTACCTAGTTCTGTTCTTGGTCTAGCCATCCTGGTAATTTTAACTTAGGTTGTTCCCCGGGTAGGCTTGATATAATTGGTCAGCATTTGACTTTCCCAGTCTTGTGGGTCCTACCAGTGCCAGTACCATCTCTGTCCCTGTTGGTTTCAGGATTGATCACCTAAATGACGTGTTTGGATTCTACCACACGTAGTCAGTCTTTGGATTCTGGGCACTTCACTTCTCTAAGACAAGGCTCATATCAATTCTGTAAGATCCACCAAAAACAGAAGTAGGCATGAGTGGCTATCTGGTAGGAGTTCTAAGTTACTTATTTTTATCTATTTCCTAATTTAATTTTCTGCTGTTTCTAAACCAATACATCCTCAGTCCAGTCAGCCAAGTTAAATCTCACTGCAGTTTCTGCCTTCTATTGGAAGAAAAATTTACTTACTACTCACTTTTAGAAAAAAGAATATCTTCTTCTAATAAGGACGTCAAAATTTCCTATCAACAGCTTTAATTTGTGAGCTTTCCTCCTTAAACTACTCTTGAAAACCTGTTCTTAGGGCTTAAGCAGTATATCAGGTATCTCCCCCTCCTTACCCTTCCTTCTTTTTGGGAGGTCATCCTTTGCATAATGTTGGTTTTATCCTGATGTGTCTGAGGGGAGGAGCTGAAGGACCTAAGAATATAATAGGGTTTCCCAAACAAGTCTCTCATGAATTATTGGTCTGCAAGTTATAGGATTTCCAGGGTTGTTGGGTAAGACTACATAGTTTATTTCCATCCTGGAAAGTAACAGTTCACAAGTAAAAGCTTTGATAAGTCCTTCAGTATTTCTCTTCTAACTTCTTGGAGGTCCAGCGATGTAGTCATCTACCTTGGTTAACCACATTCATCCTTAACTTAGAGTAGCTCTTTTGTAGTTCTTTTAAAATGTTATAGACCCCGATACTTAGGAGAGGTCTTTTTTTTCCTTCCTGCCACTTTGACCTTGATGTTATCAACACTGCATGGTAACCAACTGAGTAACCAGCCAGCCCTACCGCTGTAGAATTTTACACGAGGCTTCTCATACAACTGTGCTTCAGGAAATAACAAATTAGTTCATTTAAGTTTTCTGGTCGCTCTAAGAAATTGGCTGTACTTCCTATTTAGTCGTGCACTGTATGTGCATTAGATTAAAAAGGCTTTTCCTTAAGAGATAGACACTATCTTACTATCACCCAAGAATGGTACTATGTATGTATGAAGGGATGGATCAATGAGGAATGGTATGTACTCAGAGAAAAAATATTTCAGGGAAGCATATTATGGTTATTGTATTTAACTTAAAAAGTAAAGTAGAAGTTAACATTTATTTAGTCTGTGTTGCACAAAATAGATGTATAATAAAACTTAATATAGCCTATTAGGTGAATTTTGATGTATTGCAGATGTTCCCCAACACTTAAATACTATTATAAAATTATTCTGTATAACAACATAGCACTGACAATATTGCATTATTTTGCTTAGTAGATAAAATGCAAAATAACTTTTTTAGATAATGCATATGAGTTTTGAACCTAAGACCATATCTTTTGTTTGGAGGTTTTGTGCATTTTTTCCACTAACAGATATATGGAATGTAGCTGCAGGAAAGGCCCTTAGAGACCATTTAGTCTAATAATAGTGTTACAGATGAGAAAACTGAGGCCCTGAGACAGAAAGTCACTTTTTAACATATGTGACACTTTTTCCTCTTCTAATCCTAAATATACTCCCTTTTTTAAAAAAAAAAAACTACTTTATTGAGGTATGATTGATACCTTCCCTTTTTAGTACAAGAAATAAATTTAAAACCTAGTTCAAAATAATTCTCCCTTGTAGGTTTTAACATAAGAATGCAGCTCTGTGTATATACTAGTATTGACAGTATTAAGAGGGGAATGTTAACACTAACCTGTTAAAAGCCAAAACTGTAATTATTATATTCCTGTTTAGGTTTACTTTTGGACATCAAGCCCATCATTACCAGCCAGTGAAGAAGGATTTCAGCCTATGCCCTCAATCACAATAAGACCGCCAGATGACCAACATCTTCCTACTGCAAATACTTGCATTTCTCGACTTTATGTCCCACTCTATTCCTCTAAACAGATTCTCAAACAGAAATTGCTACTCGCCATTAAGACCAAGAATTTTGGTTTTGTGTAGCGTATGAAATGTGTGTATTGCTGTGTAATATTACTAGCTAATTTTGTAGATTTTTTCCATTTGTCTATAAAAGTTTATGGAAGTTAATGCTGTCATACCCCTCTAGTGGTACCTTAAAGAGACTGAATGCAAACATTCCTTGCTGAGTTTGTAGATCAAAGACCAGAGGAGCACTAGCAACATTTGGCTGTTTGCTAGTCAACAACTTCTGGGTCTAACCCCAGCCAAAGATGACAGCAGAACAACATAATTTACACTGTGATTTATCTTTTTGCTGAGGGGGAAAAATGTAAAATGTTCTGAAAATTCACTGCTGCCTTTGTGGAAAGTGTTTCAGCAAAGGTTCTTGTATAGAGGGAATAGGGAATTTCAAAATAAAAAATTAAGTATGTTCTGTGTTTTCACTTTAACTTTTTTTATGGTGTTTAATTTGTGGTTGGCTGCAATTGTGTATCATGTATATGGAACTTGTAAAAAGTTCTTGACATTCAGATCTTAAAGATGAAATCCCTTTTACCTATAAAAACCACTTTTATTATGGTTTATTTTGGCAGCATTGAGCTCTAGGATATTAAATGATATCACTAATATTTTGCATGTAATTTGTTCATTTGAGTGAGGGCACTTTTTTTTGTACATATGATGGGGCCAATGCACAATACTTTATCACAATCAACTTTTTTTCTTTGTATCCCTATTTCAATGAGCAGTCAGTCAGGAGGTTACTGCATTTCAGTTCTAACTAGACATTTGTACTAAAGTTTTTCAGTTATGTAAAGTCAGCCTGGGCACTTTCTGATAACTGTAAAATGTTTTATAAGATCATAATTATTGAAGATACATTTTGGAAAATTTTAAATGTTCGTGAGCAGCTTAACTACTTTTGTATCTAGCCTTTTTTAAGTATCTTGTTACATTTACTTTTTTAAATAAATTACAGAAGACATGTCAAGTAATATTGAAGAAACAATAGTTTTTATTTATGTAGTTGTACAGTTTTAAACTAAGGGCAATACACTGACACAGTTATGTGCATAAAAATTTTGATTTAGAGAACCAAAAGTTTATATACACATGGACTTTAAGAAACAGAAGAAAATCAGTCCACATTTTACAGTTAGCAGAGAATCCTGAATGGCAATGGCCAGGCAGGCCACCTTTTCTTTTTACAAATGGGGAAAATGAAGTGGTACCCTTACTTGGCAGAGGAAGTTAACTTACTTATACTTAGTGACTAAGTGACAGGTTCTTTTTTGATGACCCATTAATTATGTATTGAATGATACAATAAAGGAACACTATTTTCTTTACTAAGTCTTCAATAAAGTGACTTAAACTAGTCACTTTACATATTAAATATGAGGAGAGAAATTCTCTGGAGTCTCTCCTACCTTTCAGTTCCTTTATAGGACTTTTGGCCTTGGGGATAGTTTTCATGTTCAGAGACACTATGCTTTTATTATATAACTTCCTTCGAAAGACTGAACCACATGATATTCTCAGCACTGTTGACACTAAAAATAGTTAAAACTGATAGTAGTGAAATTCATTGTATTACATAAAACAATTGTATTAGAAGTGTTAAATTAGCCAAAGTTATTTTACAAAGTGAGAGATTGGTTTTTATGTCTAAATGCTATTTCTAAATAAATGAAATAGTAATTAGATTAAGAGCTGATTAACATCAATGTGTTTGAAAGATTATAAAATTTATATATCACCTTAACCTCTGTATGCACATGATGGGATTGATAAAATATTAAATGAGATCAAACTAGATATGATTAGGACATTCGAAACCCTAACTGTGAATTTATTTTCAATAGTTATTGAAAGAACGAAATATTTAAAATAATGCACAATGTCTTAAGTCTTCCTAAATGAAGATTTTGGTTACAATGCTTTTAGTAATATTAAAAGCAGAGGGAATCTTTTTTTTTTGTTTGTTTTTTTTTTGTTTTAAGTGAAGCATAAAGCAGTTCTAAGTGTAAAATAAAGTCATGTAAAATAAAGTTCTCTTTTGGTCTTATTTAGTGATTAAATCTAATAGAATTGAAAACAAATTTAGGAAGAGAAGACCAAGAATGAACTTTACTCAAGGTTTTCAAAGTTTTGCTACTTCAACTTTTTTTTCCCCTGAATCATCTGAATATTGACTCCCCAGTACTGGGGTAGATTTAAGAGGGTTTTGTTTTTTTTGTTTTGGTGGCTAGCTTGTATATGGGGATCCGAATCATTGACCTTGGTGTTACAAGGCTGTACGCCAACCAGCTGAGCTAAGCAGCCAGCCCCTTTTAAGAGGATTTTAAATTTTATTTATATATTTGGGGTGACTGGCCAGTACAGGGATCCAAACCCTTGACCATGTGAGCTTGGCAGCCAGCCCTTAAGAGGATTTTTCAAAAGAACGTTTCACTGTTTAGTACTTGCCCCTGCCATTCCTTGCATAAAGATAGCATTATTTTTATGTGTTTAGATGAAGTCAGCAATTTCTAGGCTTAAATTCAAATTGACATCTTCCATGGAGGCAAGTAGCGCTCATGCTTCTGTATGCATCAGATTCACTTGTGAGTTTGTTAATGCTGATTCTTAGGCATTGCTTATCTTCTCTCCTCTTTTTCTGATGTAGTAAGTCTTCGGTGGAAGCTAGAAATCTTCATTCTTAATGGCATATTCTACGTCATTCTAAAACACTGCCCCAAAAGCATTCCTTTCTATTCACAAATCTAAATCCCCCAGCTGGAAAGCTCCTTAGAGCCAAACCTTTCCTACTCTAACTGATGTAAAAATATATCTGTGATCATCTTAGTCCTAGGTCGTTGCTCCTGATAAGGGGCTGGTTGGAAGTGCCTTCAGTAGACTGTGCCTGGTTAGTGATTGAAAATATTGTCAATGTTTACGTCAACCTAAGTAAGTAGCATGAGCAAAAGGATTAATTCATCTTTAAACACCTTTTGATAACGTAGAAATGTGTTTAAAATGTGTCTGTTCATGTCAAGATACCTTGGATTAAATATAAACTAAGTGTGTTGTTACCTCTCTTAAAATTCAAAAAACATTAGAAGTACAATATGAAGTGTTAATTACCTACTTTTATTGAGTACTTACTATGTGCCGTGCATTTTGTCAAGTGCTCTACATTTATTATCTCATTTTATCCTATGAGGTAGGGACTATTACCATTCTCAGACAAGAAACTGAGACACAGGTAAAACAACTTGCTCAGGCTTATGCAGCTAGTAAGTACAACAGTGAGGTACATCTTCAGGCATCCTGGAGCTTGTAGTCCTAAACCTTGGGTATACAGTTTTGTGGAAGGTGTGATGATAAGCAAGTGAGTTAGTCATAGAATAATGAAGTATCCAATGAGGGTCTGGCTGTATTATTACAAAAAGGCAGTAATTCATACATTTTTGCTAAAGATTTCTAAAAATGTTTGTCCTTCAGTAAGTTTCCCTAGAGACAGGAATCAGAACTCTGAAGATGTGGGAATTGTCCAAAATCAACTTAAGCCCAAATGTCTTAAAATGAAAAGCACCACACATAAAGAAACATTGACATTTTTTTCTTAAGTTTTCTCCTAAGTTCTTATAAACTGCTTGCTCTAAAAGAGCAAATGATTTTCATGGGTAACATAACTCAATTTCTTAATCTTTCAGAGTGAATCTCCGATTATTTCTAGCTGCTGAACTTTAATAGTTTGCATTGTTACATGGTGACTTTGATGCAAGTAGGAGCTCTTCAGGGAAAACATTATCGGGCCATGTATTTGTATTTGAAATGCTTTCTTCAGTGGGGAACATGAAATTTGACTCTTTATGAAATTGAAATACATTGTCATTCTCTGGCAAGCTTATGGGCACAGTTCTAGTTAGATGTGTTCTGAGTATTATGAGTTTGCCCTTAGAAGGTGTCTTTGTAAACAAAGTGCCTCATGCTCCCAGGTTACCAAATACATTTAAAATTTTTCAGTTTCTAATGAAATCATAGGTACCATTATGGCTTATGGAAATGGAATGCTTGTGTGATGATCACCTTTAATGTATTCACTTGATACATTTAAGAAACAAATACTTAAATTTGTGTTATGTTTCCTTAAAAATTCTGCCCCCATAAAAACAGATCATAGTAATCCTCCCAACTACCAAAAAATGGGTTGGGGTGGGGAGGAATGAGTGAAAATATAGCAGTCATAATAATTTTCTCAAAGTACAGATACTGAAGTTCAAGTCCAATAATAAAAGGAGAGGCTTTGTATCCCAGAGTGTTTGATCATCAGGTTCCTGTTTCATCACAGACTAGAAGTAGCAAAATTAAGATCAAAGAAATTAGCAAATGTTCAAAAAGGAGAAAAGAATGGAGCCATTTAATGCAGAAACATTTGGCAGCACCACATCTAAAAATCTGTATATTGCAAACATTAATATGCTACACAAAGATGACATTCCCAGCAGTCTTCCCCAATTCAAAAACAGCACCCAAGGCTAACATTTATTTCAGCTCAGGATAATTATTTATTCCCCTAAAAACTGTTCTATATACTCTGGAAGAAGGCAGAGAAGCGTGCATTTCATTTAAGAAGAAGATAACATTCAGTTGGTCAGAGTGCAGCCTTATAACACCAAGGTTATGGGTTTGGATCCCCATACCAGCCAGCTGACCCCCCCCCAAAAAAAAAGAAAGTTATTTAAGAAGATATATCCAAAGCTGATGAAGTTTAGGATATTAAAAGATATTCTGTAACCTAAAATATGGGGCCTTGAATAAGGTAAGCATTCATGTATTTGTTGAATGAAAATTTATTCCTTAAAGGTATCAAAATCTGGAGCTAATGTATTAACTATTTATAATAAATGAAAATAGAGCACTATAGTGAAAAGCTATGATCCTTGACTTGGATGAGAAGTAATATGTTTTCTTGATCATATGTACTTTTAGAAGCACTGTAAGTATTGCAACTGATTTATTATTTTTTTTTAGATAAAACTTTAGCAGAACTATCTTGGAACATTTAAAGAAGGGAAGCAAAAACAAACAAAAAACACTGAAGGTTTAAGTGATTTGAGGAAGTCTGTGGAGAACCAGGATTTTCATATAATTTTTTGCCATTCCGTACTTTTCCCCTACTTCTATGCCTTAGACCTCTGGGAACTGATAAGAGTAACACAAGAATAGCAGCCCCTGCCATCCCCACAGCTTTGGCTACCTTAAAAGCTTCGAAGGCATAGGCCCAATTCCCACCATCCTTGGTCCATGTACTACCTGAAATTAGTTTACTTGTTTATTGTATAACTTCTCCCAGTGACCCTCCACAAGAACAGAGGCCATCAGAAACTACCCTGTATTGGCCAACTGCCTCCCCGCCCCCAAAAAGAAAGAAACTCTATCCTCATTCACTTCTCTAAGTCCAGTGCACAGAATAGTGCCTGGGTTGAAAATCATTAATGAATCAATAAATTATCTCGTTCCCAAATCAGGAACCTGGAATCATACTCAATTTCTTCTTTACCCCCACATTCAAATTAACCGTCAAGTCCTATAGTTATTAAATCCTTATCGCGAATTCATCTCCTCTCCACGTGCACTATTGTGACCTAACTTTAGGTCACCACCATCTTACCTAGATTACTTCAACAGCCTACTAACTAATTTCTGTTTCTTGTTTTGCTTCCTTCAATATGTAGAGGTAGAGCAATCTTTCTAAAATGCATATTAATCATGTTACTCCCCTTTTAAAAATACATTGACTTTCCATGGCCACATAAGATGAAGTCCAAACTCCAAGGCCCTTTCATGTCTGGAATCCTGCTTTGCAGCCTTAACCTCTACTTGCTCCCTTATTATTTTGAAAAACTTGCAATACTCTGTTGGGTTAATGCCCTCTGTCACCTTGGGGCCTGTACACATACCGCTTCTGAGCTTCCTTCTCTCTATGGCCCCTCATCTTGGAATGTTT